TCTTCTGAAATCGACCCTCCGCATCAAAGGAGTTTGTCGCGCAATTCGCGACAACGGCTGATATACGCCATTCCCTTTTCGCCTGGTTTCATTTCGACTATTGTCAGTTGCGCCATTAACCGACTTTGATTGACGCTGTCTGTTGCTTGATACAGGTTCTTCAGGTGGTTGTACGCGAGCTCTGCAGAGTTGCCGTATCCCGGGTAAGACCGTATATTCTGCTGCTGATTCGGAGTGATGTTTCTCAATAGTATTGTGTACGCCATCACTGACTGATACGTGTACTGCTGCTTGTCGTACTGTGTGCCGTGTGTTGGGTATGGCAGGGACCCGTCGAAGAAGCCAAGGATCTGCGCGCCTTCCATCATCAGCTCGAACTCGAATGACAAGGTAAAGAAGTCCTTTCCGTCGAAAGGCCTTGACGTTTGCAGTTTTAAGACGTGCGCGAACTGCGACTGAACTTGAAGTGCGTCCAGTGTCTTCTCTTGTCCAGGTGCAGGCTGCGGTTGTGGCATAAAGCTGACAGAGCCGCGCTGAGGCTCATACGGAGCAAAGGTAGGCTGCTGCTGTTGATTTCCGCGTGCGTAGGATGAGCCGTCGAGGCTCATGGGCGTCACGTCGTTGTTGTTGTTGCTGATGTTTGACTGCGCAGGTGCCGACTGCTGGTGTTGCTCGTAGAAGGACATGAAGGAGAAGAACTTCTCCATCATGTTCTGGTCAAAGTCTGCAGGTTTATTCGCAGGAGTTTCAGTGGACCCTGCTGCTGGTCTTGTCGCCGTGCCCTGCTCTGTCTGTAGGCCAGAGGCAGGAGGTGGAATAGGGGTAGTGCCGGGAGAACCATTAGAGGAACTCCTTTCTTTCTAAGTAGCCATGCTTTCTGATGTTGTAGGTGTCTTGATAGTGGAATTTGTCCTGACAGCTCTCATACCATGTTGGGCTGAAAAAAGCCCTTAGGATCTTAGCAGGACTAAACTCCTGGTAGGACTGATGTAATAGCGGAAGCGTTTAATGAAGGGTTTTTGTGAACCACCTTGCGCTAGTGTGTGAGGGCAAAGTAGATTGATTAAAACAAAGAGATACAAGTCTTTTATAAGAGTGCAAGGGAATATGAAGGGTTATAACTAATAACTGTTTTGCTGTTGCTGTTGCGGTTCGATACAGTGACGACTCGGGCAACTGCTCAATAGCGAGTCAGTTGTTTGTCCATGCTGTCGCGCTGTACTTGTCAGGTCAAGGGTCGCTGACCTTTGACTTTTGGGTAACCTCCAGCAGTTGCTCAACCTCCGAGGGTTGACTCGTTGATGCTTCGATATGTTTCGCTTCGCTTCTGACTTGGTGTTTCGACACGACAGAGGCGCTTAAGTTAATTGTTTCCAACAACGCGGAGGTCAAAGGTTTGCGACCTTTGACTTGACAAATACAGCGCGACAGCAAGGACAAATAAGTGACTCGATACTGAGCAGTTGCACGAGTCGTCACAGTATCGATCCGCAACAGCAACAGTAAAACGGTTATTCGCTGTACCGTAATACCCCGGATATAAGCGCACCTGCGCTTACCTGGTTTTTTGGGGGGGTGCGCTTATAATTGAGTCTGATTTATAAGCGCATGCGCTTGTATAAAGGATAAAATGAAAGTCAATTTTAAACACACCATTGTGAAGCTCTCAATAAGGCGAATTCAACCAACCATGCACCAAGTGGGATCGTGCATGGTTTTCAGGCAGAAACCGCAGCGGTTCGGTTTCCTACCGCACAATGTTGTCTGGAAACATCGACAGTGACAGCCGTGACGAGGATGTTGCCGTGCGGCCCAATCAGAGCCGCATGCGCTGCGTGGCATATGCATTCGGGCAGAACCATCTCGAAGGTTCGGCAAAATTCCCTGCCAGCGCAGCGTAGATGCTGCCACGCAGGCGCCTCTACGGGAGTAGGCGGGGGTTTCCTGCCTGTCATCGACGAGGAACCCGAGCCGCCACGCAGCAGGGGTCACCGTCGTTGCCCATTTCTTCACCCTCTTCTCTGTTTTTTTCATTCAGTTTCTTGTCAACCCCGCCTGGCAGGCGAAGCCATGGCGGAATTTAGTGGGACTCACATCCTCTTCAAGAAAAAGCCCCGCCGCACATGGCGACTTACCGAGGACGGGTGGTATACCCGTGAGCCACCAGCGCCTCCAGTGCCACCAGATCCCCCTGCACCCCCTGCTCCTCCTGCTCCTCCTGCGCCTCCTGCTCCACCCGCTCCTCCCGCACCTCCCGCTCCTCCGAATCCGCCTGAGTCTGTTACGGCAGGTGCTCACCAACGGCCCGTGCTCCAACTGTATTTACCGGCCACGTTCAACGAATGGTTAGCTGAAGCGGACACACCCAAGGCCCCCGATGCACGCATCCAAGCTCCGGCGCCTGCACCACGGTGGGGACAACCTGAATCCTGCGCGTGGGATGAGTCGGCTGTGGGCGCCGACGATGATGTGGCCGCCGATAAACATGACAGCGGCGCCGGCGAAGCTGGAGGCGATGGTGAAGCTGGTGGCGCCGGTGCAGCGGGCGACGAGGAAGACGTGTTCCCCGACCGTGACACAACTGCCGAGGACGAGGACGGTGTGGAGTCCTGGTGGCGCGACGCACCACGCGCGAAGATGCCGATACCGACGTATCCGCCCCTTAACAAAAAACGCCCCCACCCGTCTACCGAGAATCGAGATGCCCCTCCCCCCTCCCCCAGGCACAAGCAGAGTCAACATAAGCGGCAGTCCTACACCGCCCAGGAGAAGTTGAGGTGGCTCGTGCGGCTCGAGCTTGCGGCTTCGGTGAGCGAAGTGGCGCGGGAGTCAGGCATACACCGAAAATGTCTGACAGAATGGAAAGCCCAAGCGGAGGCGCTCAAGGCTGCACACGGAGCACGGATGCGACTTCACGGGCGCGGGAGGGCGTCTTGGTACCGCCCCATGGAGTTAAAGGTGTACGCGCAACTCCTCGACTGGCGACGCCGCGGAGTTGCGGTTTCGGTCGGCCGGCTGCAAGAGTGGTCCAAAGAAGTGATGAAGGTTCTCTTCCCGGACGTCAAGTGGAAAGGCAGTCAGCGGTGGACGGAGCGGTTCCGCAAGCGGTGGAACCTCACCGTGCGCATGAAAACAAAGGTGGCGCAGAAAACACTGGAGCGTAAGTGGGTCGTCTACTGCTGATTTTGATTTATCCCGATTATGCTTAGTTTCTTTTTCGCATGTCTCCTGTGCGTGATACTAATTTGGTTTACTATGTGTACTTATCTCCCTGTTCCGCAGACGTGGCTGAGCAGTGCAAGGATTTTTGGCAGTACGTACGTGACGCCCGGAACGAATACGACATTGACAACCGCTACATAATCAACGCCGACCAGACACCGCTGTGGTTGGAGATGCCGGCGACGACCACTGTGGAGCAGACGGGCGTGAGGTCGGTGCCCATCCGCAGCGGTGGGTACCAGAAGGAGAGAGTGACCGTCATGCTTGCGTGCACGGCGACCGGCGAGAAGCTGAAGCCGTGGGTGTTTTTCAAGCGCAAGACACTCCCCAAGGGTGACTTCCCGAACGGTACGTGATCGTCGCGCGTGTTTATTCCCGTTACTATCAGAGTCGTCAACCGTTCTTTTTCCTTGCGTGCAGATGTTGTGGTCGGCTGCCAAGCGAACGAGTGGATGGAGGCTGCTGGCGTCATCGAGTGGCTCAACACGGGCGTGGTGCCGTTCCTGAAGCCGAAATTTGGCCTGCAGAGACGTAGCGCCATGCTGGTGCTCGACTCGTATCGCGGTCACCTGACACCAGAAGTCAAGGAGAGATTCGCGGCGCTCAACATCGTGCCTGCTATCATTCCGGCGGGTTGCACGGCAGACCTGCAGCCCCTCGATGTGTCGATCAACAAAAGCTTCAAAGCAAGCATTCGTCAGCAGTACCAGACTTGGTTTGAGGCGGACGGCATGAACATCCTGACCCCGGCAGGTGAGTGACGACATGTGCTCCCGTCTGCAAATCTTGAGCTTGTATGCCTGTTTAGTTGTCTCATGTTTTCCCCGCCCCACTCCGTGTGATGCAGGGAACATCAAGAAACCACCTCCGGAGGTGGTGCTCAAGTGGATTTCCCGGGCGTGGAAGGCGGTGCCCGCCGACCTGATCAAGAGAGCCTTCCTCACGTGCGGCATCAGCAACGCCCTTGATGGGAGCGAAGACAAACTGGTGCTGGCGCACCGGAGAGGCCAGTTGTCCCATGAGGTCGAGGTGGACGATGACATCCAGGCAGATGGGTTCTGGGGCAACAACTCCACCGAGCCCGAGTCGGACGAGGAGGAAGAATAGGCAGTAGGGTAGAATAGGCAGGTTGAAAGGTGTGTAGTGCAGGACAGCAAAGACCACCCTTGTATGTGATTGTCTAAGTTAATGTAAAGATTAGAACATGTAGGCTAGGTAGGTTAAAAAAAAATGTTAATTTTTTTTTACGGTAACTAAATGGGTGCGCTTATAATTGAGGATCGGCCATAAGCGCATTGCTCCAGATACAAGCGCATGCGCTTAACATAGGCCTGCGCTTATATCCGGGGCCATACGGTATCTTCTCAAATTCCTTGTACTCTTATAAAACCTTGTATCTTCTTGCTCTAATCAATCTATCTTGCCCTCACATACCAGCGCAAGGTGGTTCAAGACTTGTTACTAAACGCTTCCGCAATTACAACATTTCTACTCAGAATTTAGCCTTGAAAAGATCCTAAGGGCTTTTCTGAGCCCAACAATACGGTAAATACAAAGGCATGCACAACGACTCTTTGAGCCCTTGCATGTGCTTAGTCTACAATACAACTGGTAGCTATGCAACATAATCCAGGACTAAACTAAGTAACTAGTGTTACCACCACTACCTAGATTCATGATATAAAATATAAGCTGCCTATTCCCTAGGAAAAACCTGGGCCAACAGCATCTTTTGCTCTGCAGAGAGCTTAGAAGGAAATCTAACATCAAACCTTATTCTAAGGTTGCCACGCTTTCCCAACTCCTTCCCTGGCATCCCCTCCCTTGAAATCACCTTTTCATATCCGGGATAAATCACCTCATTGAGGGGAATTGAAAGCTGCCTCCCATCAAGAGTTGTCAAGTTCAACGTGTAATCAAGCAAGGCGTCCGCAATGCTGATTTTTTGAGTGCACACAAGATCAATGCCCTCCCGCTTGAAGAACTCATGCTGCTTCTCCTCTATGACAAAAACCAGGTCCGCAGGAACTAGACCTGGCTGCTCATTCCCTTTCTCAGGGAACGTAATCCTGGTCCCCTTTTTCCATCCTGGTTTCACGTTGATAGTCAGTATTTCCTCCACTGGGGTGATTTTCCTGAAAAAAATCATGGGGGGTAGTGTAAAACAAATTAGTGACTGGCCTACTGACTGCCCTGAACGGACAACTTGAAAAAGAACGGCGTAACGTACCCAGCAGTGTCAACAATATTTCGAGAGATCTTCATTTTCCTCGTCGAGCCCGAGTAAAGCTCTTCCAAGGAGCAAACCAGCCGGTTCTCTACAGGTGCACCTTTCTTAGGTGCGGGGGAGTTGGGATCCACGTAATGACCATGCACCACCGCCGGTTCTTGCACTGGGGATCCGTAATGGTCGCCAGGGAACGAGGAACCAGACTTTGAGCCTCTGAAGCTACTGCTTTCTGACATGAATGGGTTCTTGCCAAAGAACTCTGCAAAAATGTCTTCCGCGCTCCGCGGATTAAACTTATTAACGTGAGGATTCGGGGTGCCATGAGGATTCGGGGTGCTGGAAGTTGGGCCGTGTGAAGTTCCTGGCTGACTTGGAGTTCCTTGACGCGGTACTTGTCCTTTAAGTCCCTCCTCCCCGTATTGATCGTACACTGCTCTCTTCTGACCATCACTGAGTACCTGTACCAACAAGGGAAAGGTGAATGAGTCCTGATCTCGAAACAATCTAGGCGGACTGTGCCAGCAAGAGAATAAACTCGAACTACCTCGTACGCTTCAGAGATCTCCTTAAATTTCGCCTCCGCTTCTGTCTTGCAGGTGGGATTTTTGTCTGGATGCCATTTCATCGCCAACTTTCTATACGCCTTCTTTAGGTCATCATCAGACGCGGTGTTCGGTACCTGTAGTACCTCATAGTAGTCTAATCCCATTTCATAAGTAAGGCTGGAAATGGTCAACAAACGCCTGGCAATCCGAGAACATCGAGGCTATTGCCTGCCCAGACACACCTGGGTGATAGCAACAGCAAAACCAAACCCTCAAAAGGAACTCCAGCAGATAAAATGGTTGAGCAACCCTTTGGCGGCTGCAGCTGTATGCGCTTGCCAGGAGCAGTCGCACGGTGGTGCATCCGACGCATGCGATCAACTTGCAAGCTGTTGCAGTCTTCGTAGAAGCGTCGCAGGTGCTTCTACGACCTTGTAGCGAAGTCGCAAGCCAACCTCCGACGCCCGAATCGCAGAAATCTGAGGCCCAGGTTGCCGCTTCGACAGTTGCATGCCTTTTCTCCTCCTCTGGACGAGCCGAATTCCCAAGTCCAAATCAGTCTCGTGCACTCCCTCCCCTTCGTCTGGATCCAACTGTTTGGTTGGCTTCATCTGAAATCTCAAGCCGCCCGTGATCAAGAGAGCAGTCCACCCCTAAATTGAGGAAATCAATCCCGGAGCGCCGCCCAACGTGCTTCCCGAAGTGCCACAGGCAACAGGCGTGAACATCGGCCCATGACCTGCACGTAGGCCAATAGGATGGAAGCTGGTCGAGCCCATTGAGCTCCCTGACACAGTACAGTGGACATTCTGTACAGTATATTCAGTCATATCTTTACCACATATACCCCTGTAAACCCACCTGTTCCATGACCCGGCAAAAAGATTCCACCATTCTAGAGTACCATTGGACATCATGTATAGACAATCTCTGTCTAGCTGTTACAATCTGTTCAGCAAAGACCCACGCACAAGCCAAAACATATGGAAACTCAAACAATGCGCTCCAACTCCCTAGCATATCCCAAAGCCTGGCTCACAAGCTGCATGGATGGCATTCTATCACGTGGTTGCTGCTGCTGTGGGCGCTGAAAGTATACAGAACCATCACGCACCTCCCAGTTGTGCTGCATGGAAAAAAAAAAGGAACAGGAAGAGATGAGCACCGGAAACAACAGAAGAGGAATGAAACTTCAAGAAGCTAAACAAAATGAAGCAGGCACAAAGTTGGAAGAGAAGGGCTGAAGGAAAGTGGTGAGTACAAGAACAGTGAATCAGGAAACCAAACCAGGGCATTGTTACCTGTTCAGCATAGGGCTTCAGCTCTGCTTCATTGGTGAACATGAGCAGTTGGCATGCATCCTTGATTTCAAGGGATTCGTATGCCTTCTCACTGCACCCAGCTATCTCATCTCTGCCAGAGGCAAAGAGTCACAGAGAAGAATCAGGAACACACAAATACAGGCTATATAAGAGTGATGTCCATGTGTCAGATCTCCTTTCCCCCACCTAAACAAAATGAAAAACAAATACGACAGATCCAGAAAAGACATGTGAAAAACGTGGAATGCTTCTTGTAACACACATCCCTCTCACACACATCCCTCGCTCACCTGACAGTCCGCATGAGCAGGTCAAGGAAGTGGGCAAAGAGTGAGTGCGGCGCCGCATGACGTGTGGTGAGCACACGTGCATACGCCCCCTCCATGAGTGCCTGCTCCAGCTGCACTGCTGTCTTCACACACGGATTCTCGTCCAGGCCCTCTGGCAAGAGCTCCAGTTCAGTGTGGAACTCTGCAATGCGATTCGCTACCAGCAGGCGCAGCAGGTTCAGGCCCAAAATGACAGGCTCGTTCTCAGAAGCAGGGAGGATGCTCCTGGCGTGGAAGGAAACAGACAGGCAACATGTCACCAATGCTGGAAAGCAAGATACCAACAATTGGGGTTTTGGTAATAATGGAATCAGTACTAAGGGAGGGGCAGCAAAAGAGGGTGGATAGGGCTCTGCAATGAGGGGAACGGGGACAGTGGTGCCCGCACCTGGTGTCAGTGTAGTAGGTGCGTAGCTGCAGGTAGTTGCGCTCAAAGAGAGCCTCGTCCTTTTGCTTTACGCTCAGTAGCACCGCGTGCTCCATCACATCGCCTACACCAGCACACGATTAAGAGGCAAGAGGAAATAACAAAAGAATAACCTTACATGGGCCAAGGAACGGTATCAGCGCGTCACAGCTTGTGAAGCACACGATGCAGCAGAAGCATTTGCGAAGAGCGGAAACGAGGGCGAATATGGGGGGATTGCGGAAAAAAGCAGTAGGAGCAGGAGAGAGAGAACGATTGTCGCAAACGGCGCAGGCACAGCAGATGCCACGAGAGCAGAGGGGAAGCGAAGGAAAATGAGACGCACGTGCAAGAAGGAGCTCTTCCTGAGCCGTGGGCGACTGCTGGTACAGCGGGGGTAGAGATGGCAGCAATGTTAGCTTCAGCTGCAGGGGACGACCAAGGGAGGGGAATAAGGTGTGTGGTAGGAGAAACTTAAGTCATGGTTCATGGGAGGCCATGCGGGTGGACCATGTGGGGGGAGGGGAAGCATGGACAGAGAAGGGTTTTAAGCGTGCAAGGGTTGCATGTTATGGACGAAAAAATGACGAGCAACGACACTCTTCTTCCGAAAGAATTGATGATTCCTGTTTCTGATACGCATCCGACATAGCAGGAGACAAGAAAAGGCTCATGCGGTGATCATTCGACCCTTCAACAAGTGGAATCTAGCTTAAGGCCTTCCCGCCTTACCCTTGTCCATGGAACAGAAGGGGAGCTACGGCCCGATATGATGCATATCATCCATGCCGATCCCGTCTCCGCTAGTCGCATTCATCACGCCAAACTAGTATCTTCACTGCCATGTTCGGTCGATCAGGAAACCATGGCTTACCTTGAGTTGCGAAACAAGCGACGCGCAGGTTGAGATGTCATCCCGATTGTAAGCGCTGGCCAATTTTTCCATCAGAGCCTTGACGTCTTTAAGTGTGTCGCCCATCGCAATCCCTGCGTTAGCCTTGCTGCTGCTAAATCGAAGTTTCGCCGGTGACTCGAATTCTTTCTCTCGCACTTGCTCTCTTCCCTCTCACCCTAAGTATCGCGCGTTCTCTGCACCCTTGTTGCGACTGTCTACTCCTCTAATCGATCCGTATTTAAGTAAAACACGTCCGCGAGAGACAAAGAGATCGTGGATTTACAGCCTCAAGGAACCACGAAAACCTCCTTCTCGTCGTCACCCGCGAATGCGTGCGGACAAGGTCAGATCTAGCTCGATCCTGGGAGATGAGACCTCGCACACAACTGAAATATACACCAAGCACGCGGCGGCAGGCACAGGAATGCCGTGCGTGAGAAATGAAGCCTAGTGACAAAGCAGCTATGCTGGCGGATGAATCTGGAATCGAGGCCAGACTGGAACGGCTGGGAACACTTTCTGCTCACAGATCGAAATTCCATCCGTTATAACATGTGGGAAAGTGGTGCCGAGTGGAGATGGCACTTTTTAGGAGCCTCTTTAGCAAATACACAAAATTGAGCTGTACGGTTCACATGTTTGCGCTTTGTACACCCAAAGGTTCGGGGAAAGAAGAGGCACACGGTATACCCGTTTGTAGCCTTTCACCTCCAAACCAGAACCTGCTGATCATGCTGTCGGTCGGCTGCATCTGTCAGCTGATCGATCCAGCTGCCTAGTATGTACTCACAGATTTCGTGAATCAGTGTAGGTGATTCAAGATTGTAGATGCATTGTCCCCTACTTGTAAGCACCCTGCCCTACCTTCGAACTCGCGAATTGCTCCGCCAGACTCAACTTGTTCGTCCAGCCGAAACGTCTGTACATCCACGCGCCAGCCAACCGAAAACAGCCATCATTCCACCCGCTTCCATGACACGCTCCTCGCGACCTCTCCTCTCCCCGCTCCACACATTCTCTCCGTTCCCTCACTCCTCACCCCGCCTCACATACCTCTTCCTCCTCCTCCTCGTCTCGCTCCACTCCTCTATCCTCCACGCGCCGCCCTGCGCGCTCGCGCTGTCGCAAGACGCCATCGGGAGCATCATCGCGGACAGCGTCTCCTTCGACGGGATCGGGCCGGGGGAGGACTTCGGCGACTACGAGGAGCGCTACGGCGTGAGCGACGACGAGGAAGACTATAACGCGGACGGAGACGGCGCGGGGATGGGCATGGAGGGGGTGTCGATGGAGTGGGACGAGGAGCAGCCAGAGGCGGCGATCCATGGCGTGCTCGATGTCGATGACGTCACTCTCCCCAAGCTCGCTGACGGCCGCCAGAAGCTGCTGCTGCTCTTCTACGCGGCGTGGGACAGGTTCAGCAAGGTGCGGTGCGGTGCTGTGGGAGGGAGCGGTGGGTGGTGCGATGGGGCATTGCGGTTGGGGTTGGAAACCGTTTAAAGCCCCTTTTGAACGTGCCGCACTCTTTCCTCCACTCCGTCTCTCCCTCTGCCCACCTTCTAACTTGGTGGCTCTCGCTCGTCCCTGTTTCTCCCCTGCCATGGCGCCTGGCATGCCATGTGGTCCGTGTGTGTGCGCGCATCAGGAGATGGTGCCCATATACAAGGACGTTGCCACGTCGCTCGCCACCCACACCGACGTGATGCTTGCCAAGGTGCCGCTGCTTCCCTCTCCTGCATCCACCACCACCAATTGCTGCTGCTGCCGTTGCTGTTGATCTCGCTGTTTATCAACTAAAATTTTCCGCTTTACCATGCCGTTCTCTCCACCCCGTTCCTTCCCTCCCGCACCATCTCTGCGCCGCTTGCCCTCTGTTACTTTCTCTCTCGCTCACACACACTCAGTGCACATTTCAACGGCACCAGGCTAGCCTCACCGTGCGTGTGTGCTGCATGTCTGTCTGCCTCGTGCGGTCCACCCCTCTCATCCTCACCCCCCTGCCACCAGGTGGATGGCGATAGATACTGGAAGCTTTCTTCTCGATACGACGCCGCCTCGTAAGTCACGTGAGGGGGTGGATATTGGCGTCGCAGGCCAGGAGAGGGAGAAGAGGCAAAAGGGTTGGAGGAGGAGCTTAGCTACAGTCCTTCGTATCGATTGCACTTGGTTCGTCTCTTCTGTTTGTTCCCCTTCTTCAGGTATGCCTCCTCCTTACTCTTTCCACAAACCCGTGCTGTGCCCTGGAGCACAATGGCTTACCATTTCTTTTTCTCCACACCTCTTTTCCTCGATCACAGATCGCCTTGCACTCTCTCTTTGTCCTCTCCTCTGTCTCCTGCTTTTCTCTGTCCGCACCTGTTCTGCAGGTATCCTCACCTGGTCTACTTCGACCAAGAAAACAAGATGGGGATTAGGTGCGCTGCTCTGGCCCCTTCGTCTGTACTGGCTCTCAGACATGGCTTAGCTTTTACAAGCTCTCAGCTCTTGTCACCTAGTCGAACTTTCAAAGCCCAACAAGGAGTTTCCTTGTCTCGCTCTGCGTGTTTGTGCGCGTGCGTGTGCGTGTGCATGTAAGCGTGCGGGTGTGCGTGGTGCGTGGTGCGGGCATGTGCAGCTATGAGGGTGAGAGGACAGCGGATGCAATAGTGAGCTACGTGCTTCACGGCGAACGGGTATGTCTCTCCACTATGAGCCCTGCTGTACAGCGTCTCTTCCTCCCCACCAACCCACCCACCTCCCCATCCCTGCACTCATACGCCACCTACCCTTTCCGGTCACTCCGCAATTCCATCTCTGCTCCAACCCGTCCACTCTTCCCTGAAATGTTCCCACTTTCCCCTCTTGCCCCTTCCACTCTTTCGTCACACACAATTGCTTCCTCTCCCTCCCTGCCTCTTCTCTCTCCTCTGCACCCTTCTCTCTTTCCTCCTCCCAGCGTGGTCCTCGGCTGCCCGCCCTGCAAGCAGTAGTGCAGGCGTTTCGAGCGGGCAGCAGTGGGGAGCAGCGCGAGGCAGCCATTGCAAAGGCTGAAGCACTCGTGGCTGGGATGAGCGCGGCTGACAAAGAGTGAGGAACGGGGGAAAGGGGAGGGGAAGGGTGGGAATGTGGCTGGGTAGAGGAAAATGTAGGATAGACAAGGGGGATTTTAAGAGGGTAGAGTGTGATGGGTGAACGGCTGGGTACATGGAGTGGGGAAGTTGTGTGAGGATAGCCATGTCTGTAGGTGGCTGGTTGCTGCTGTGTTGAGTTGCTGATGGTTTGTTGTGCCACTGCACTGGTTGTGATGCCTCTATGGATGTGTGTCATATGTGAGTGGCATGTACTGGGCCTGTGTCATGCATGCTTCTAATGTGCATGTGACTACCCCATATGCACTTAACTGGCCATGTGCATGTGCATGTGCAGTGTGGGTCTGCTGTATATCAAGGCCATGAAGGCTGCCGTGGCATTCGGGGAAGACTTTCTGCGAAAGGTGCCCTTTTCACTCCCCTTCAATGCACGTTCTCTCCCATCAATGCTCACTAGAAGCAGCAGCTCTCGTCACATAACTGCATATCCCCGTATTCATGGTTTCGTACCTTGCTGCACGTTTTCAGGAGGCTCGCCGACTAGAGAGCTCTTTAGAAGGAGGTGGTTTGCCGCCGTCCACCTACACCAAGTTCCGCCAGCAGATTGACATCGCCAAGGTGCCTTGCCTCCCTCCCTGCTCTTCCACACCTCCCATTGCACACACAGAACCACCAAGTCGTCTGTTTCGTCTTGCCCTTCTCCCTCTTTCCCTCTCTTTCTTCGTCTCGTGCCACAGCAACACATGCCTGAGCCATGTCAGCCTGCATGCACCCACCCACCTGCTTCTTCACCTGTGCCTCCTGCTGTACTTCCGCTGTACTGTACTCATCATAAAATCCCCTGCATGCAGGAGTTGGACCCAACAGCTGCACATTAGTACGGTAGAGTTGTACAGGTATCTCTTGATGGCTAGAAGCCCCAATACGCTATGTACATGAAAGGATGCATGTGTGTGCTCGTGATTTCTGGCCAGTGCATCTTAGATTGGCCTTCATTTTGTGCAACGTGTCAGACATGGGTATCTTCCGAAAATCATGGTCGTGCAAGCTTCTTGCCAAGGCCATGCAGAACACGTGAGAAGTTATTGAGCTTAAAGCTCGTAATTAGTGACAACAGGGTGGAATGGTTCTTATAGACAATTGATTACCGTGTGCATTTTATTGAGCTTGTGCAGGAGTTCGAGGCAGTTTATATTGATTCACCCAGGCACAGAACAGAGCCCCCTCAAAATCGGACCTATAATTGCATCCAAGCACCAATAATGGTGGCCCACCAACTCATTGGGGTTTGCCTTGTCCGCGACGGAAAGTCCACCAAATCTCGCCTTCGCACCGCGTGTGCTCCAAGATCCGACGGCTGCCGTGCCGTGTGGTTGTGACCCTGCTCGCGCATCGCTCCTCAATGATCACGCTGGTCAGCGCAGCAGAGTTTCCCTCCCCAATGTGAAAAACCTTCAAAGCCCAACTCAACCCAGTTTCAACCCATTCCACCTTTGTGTTTCGTTACCAAACCCAACCAAGCCCCTCGCAGCCCAGCGATCCAAGTATTTATAACAGGAGATTTCTCAACGTGAAGCCAGAGCCCTTCACTCGCACAACCCACGACGATCATTTACTTTTCTAGCACTGCTGGTGGAACTGACTCGCTATAACTCATTGTACATTCTCGCACGCGCTCGTCGGGTTCCCTATTCTAGCCTTTCCAGCCTAACGCTTACAGTAACGGACTCGCCATGTTCAACCTCTCTGCCGCCCGACGCTTGCGGCTATTCCTCGTCATCTGCGTTCTCTGCGCGACAATTAGCGCCAGCAGCGGCCAATGGGTGGGCGTGTCGCTCGGCCTTGACTTGTCGTCGCAGCCCATGGACCCAGCACGCGCCGTGTCGCTCATCAAAGCGCGCGGATTCTCCGCGGTGAAGCTTTTCCGCCCAGACGGGCCCACGTTCACCGCGCTAGCTGGTGAGCCTCCTCGAACGGCATCTCCAGATACACCTTCCTCTCCCATTGACTTCAATCTCCGCTTTGTGATCGCCGCGTCCACTCATCTCAGTTGCTGCTGCCACTTTCATGTCTTAAATCCCTTTGATTCCAGTCACCCGACCATTCTTAACACGCGCGCTCACGCGCGCTCACACGTGCTCGTTCACCTGCTCGTAAGACCATCTCCGTTCCGTGCTCTGCTTTCCTCCCCTTCGCGCAGGGTCCGGACTGGAGGTGGTGACGGCGGTGCCCAACGACCGCCTGGCGGAATTCGCGGCGGGCAGCGCCGCGGCCCTGATGTGGGTGGACGCGAATATCATGCCATACGCCGACAAGTGCAAGATCACCGAGATCTCCGTATGTAGTCATGGAAAAGCTTTCTGCGGCGCCTCATATATCATTTTATTTGGCGTGGGTGCGACTAAACGCGAATACGGTATCTTGCCGCACGCCGACAAGTGCAACATCACCGGGATCTCCGCTGCTAGCAATTAAAATCCTTTTTGAGGCGCCTCAGAAATCGTCTTATCAGACAAGTATACTTGGCGTGGGCGCGAATATCACGTGACCGGGATCTCCATGAGTAGCCATGGGAGCGCTGCTATGCACAGGCACAGCCTGAGCGTGCATGTGCGCCATGACCGCGTGGCGGGCGTGATCATGCATGACGTGGGTACACCACGCTCGGAACACACTGTTAACGTTTTCAAGACCGATCCTCGACACAGTCTTGAAAATTTAATCTGGAAAATCACTCGTAAACCTTACGTGGCAGGTGGGCAACGAGGTGATGGGGCAGCGCGAGGGCGCGAACGACGCGCTCCACTCTCTAGTGCCGGCCATGGAGTCGCTTTACTCGGCGCTGGAGGCGCGCAAGCTGCACGGGCGTGTGAAGGTGACGAGCCCGCAGGACATGACGTTCCTCGCCGCGTCCTTCCCGCCGTCCGCGTCCGACGTGCACCCCAGCATCCGCGACGAGATGACCAAGCTGCTCGCTTTCCTCAACCGCACAGGTTCGCAGGGTTCGAGCATGGGATCATGGGGGTGGGTGGGATGGGTTTCACCATGATGTGTCTACACCTGCGTGACACATGATTGATATGGGAGCCATCCCGAGTTGCACTGAGTAGCCTGCTTCTCTCCTTGCCCATCTCTCCGCCCATCTCTCGGACTCTCCAGGCTCGCACGCGGTGCTCAACTGCTACCCCTTCTTCGCGTACCAGTCGGCGCCGCAGCAGCTCTCGCGCGACCTCGTGTTCTTCAAGGGCGCCACCAGCGGCGGGTACAGCGACGGGCCGCTCTTCTACACCAGCATGCTGGACGCCATGATCGACGCCGCTATCGCCGCCTTTGAAAAGCTCGGATTCCCCAACATCCCCATTACTGGTCAGCTCTCGTCCCGCCCCTACTTGCCTTCGCTCTGCTCTTCCATCCGCTTCCACAGTTTCCCATATGCGTGTATGCACATGTGCCCATGTGCCCATGTGCGCATGTGCGCATGTTCCCACATCGCACCCTCTTGTAGCAGACCCCTCTTGGCGACACATCACGCTACCTTTGCTACTGGTCTCCAGCCCGCTCTCGCACCCATGCATGGCATCTCCTCTTGGCATCGCCTCTACCTCAACATCTATGACCTCCCACCCACCCAGTCCCCTTTCTCTTCTTTCCCCACGCCTCTGCCTCTTCCCCTGGCATTCCTCTCCTCCCTCCTCGCCTCCTCCCATCCTCCGCTTCCTTCCCCATCCCCTTCCCCATGCCCCTCCCTGGTGCACCAGTGGGCGAGGTGGGGTGGCCGTCGGCAGGATCCCCCGTGGCATCCTTATCAGACGCAGCAGAGTTCAATGGAGCGCTCATCAACCACATCACGTCCGGCCAGGGCACGCCCAAGCGCCCGGGCGTGCCCATCCACGCATACGTCTTCGCAATGTTTGATGAGGATCTCAAGGACGCGGGGCCCGGCGCGTTCGAGCACTCGTGGGGAGTCAACTATGCCAACGGTTCTGAAAAGTATCCGCTCAACCTGAAACCCTCGTCGGGATCTCCTAAACCACCCACCCCTTCACCATCACCATCGCCAGTGCCCGCACCCACGCCGTCACCGGCACCGCCGTCCCTCTCCCCACCGCCCCCTCCCAGCACCTCCCCACAGACCCCCCCACCGGATTCCTTCATCCCTGCACCCTCGTGTGACGCAGCAGCGGAGAGTGCATGGAACGCCATGGCATGGGCGTGCGGGGAGGGGCATGTGGAGTGTGGGGACCTGAATGGGGCCGGCACTGGGTGCTGGGAGGGGCAGAACAGCAGCACGCAGGTGGCGGTGCAGGCGAGTTTGGCAATGAATAGGTATTTCCAGGCGGCAGCGCAGGGCGAAGGGACGTGCGACTTTGGTGGCTCGGCTACTGTGGTGTCGGCTGTGCCGGCTGTTCTGGCGGGGTGTGGGCTGGAATCTGGTAATGGCAAGTGGTGTGTGGCCGCATGCCTACTGTAGGAGAGAGGCGGAGGAAGGGAGATGATGAGGAGTTGCTTTCTGCTGTCGCTGCTGTTTAGAGAAGTGCTGGTTAGTTGAGAGAAAGCAAGGAGTGTTTCATGTATGCAGGACATAATAACAAGCAACTTCCTCATATCTGACTGATGCAGATGGCCTAGAGTGCCTGAAGCAAGGCACAGAGGGGGCACTGGTGTGATGAGCAGAGCACCATGGTGGGCAGGCAGTGGGCACCGTAACTGCTGATGGCAATGTCATAAAAAGCTACAATAATCCCAGTACCGTAAGTACCATGATAAGCACCATGGCGAGTATGAATATCATGGAGGTCCATGATGAGTATCACCTCATATGCATTCTGCCGTGGGATGAGATGGGGGGAAGGCAAGGGGGGAAGAAGGGCATGGGCCACAGTGTGTGATTTGGCACACAATGGGTACTGTCTGTCTTGCTGATTCCTGCCAGTTAAGTCAGCACAAAGAGTGGCTGATGCAGATGCAGAAGCATGCAGATGGAAATGCACATCGCCTCTGCTCCCCCACCTGAGAACGCACCTTACAACGCCCCTGGTCCCCCACCTGAGAACGCACCTGAGCACGTCCCTGCTGGCTCGTCGCACGCGGCACTTGATGGTGGGCAGTCCCAGGCGCTGGTGTGCCTCGTAGCGGTGACACCCCGAGAAGCCTGGCATGGGGCGAGCCACGCACCCAATACACACGACATGTGCGCAACCGAGACAGGTGGGGAGTCAGGGCAGGCGCGCAGTGGGGGCAGCCAGGCAAAGGCATTGGAGGGAGGGGGGGTGGGGGCGCTGACCGAACAACTGGGTTGGCAATGGGCTAAGGGAGGCCGGCTTGCAGTAGAAGAGATTGACAGAGGTGGTGGGGTGAGCGAGGAGCGGGATAGTGGCATGCATGCACACATGGGAGGCGTGGAGGCAAGGAAGGAAGGGGTTGGGTGGAGTCAAGGGGAGTGCGAACAGGCAGGCATGAGGTGATGGTGTGTGCATGAGGAAAGGCATATACATGGGAAGGGTTTATGCATGGGTGTGAGATGACTCACCATAGTATAAGCCTTCCACTTCCAACACATCAATCTGCACGCAGCAACACATGCATGCAGTGCAATCGCGGTACGATGGGCGCGGAGGTACGAGAAAAAGAGACACGTGCGGGGTGAGCACAATACAAAGGCGATAAGGTGAGGAGGTGGGGTGATTGATCGGGACGCAAGCCACAGGGGCGAGAGCGTTGCATCAAAGCAGGCTTGCCTCACACCCATCTTTGACTAACTCTGGCAGGGCAGCATCTAAGCATCAGAGCACCTCAGCTTGTACAGCCCGCACAGCCGTGGCGCGCTCACCGGCTCTTGCAGCCCAATTTCTTTAATGCTCGCCATCAGCGCCGCCACTTTCTCCTGGTCGTTGGATCGTGTGCGCATCAACGGCCGTCGGATCTCGTCCACTCGCAGCTCCATCACCTGCGCGCCGCCGCTCCCCCGCGCCGTGCGCGCGCCTGCCACTGCGCGGTGAGGATGAGCCGCGAAATGAGACACGGAATGAGCTACGTGATGAGCTACGGGATGAGCGAGGGGATGAGCGAGGGTAGGAGCGACGAGTCGTCATTCTGTCAAACACAGTAACAACTTCGTAATGGTCACGAAATCGCCCTCTTCCATTCTTCCCCCGATTCCTAGGCCACTGCGTCGCTTGTCTCACCTGCCTTTGCGCTCGACTCAGCGCCGCTGGATCCGCCACCGCCGCTCTGCGCGTCGCCCCCCATGCAGCGCGCACGGCTGGCGGGGGCCGGCCCGCTGCAAGCATCCAGGGGACTTCGAGCGGCGCGCAGTGACGCGCCGCCGCGGCATGGCGATAACGCGAAGCGTGAAGCGGGGATTACGGTGAGGGAGCTAAGGGCGTGCATGGCGGCGTTGGGGAATCGCGCAATAGCGGACGACTAGTTGAAGAGCGCGGCGAATGGAAGAATGTACTGGAAACGACGAGTGATAACTAAGGAGAACGGAGAACGGGCATCCGCGTTACTATTCAAAGCTCACACACCGCCATTGTCCATGATGGCTATTGCAGCGAAAATACTTGGTGCAACATTGCAATTCGATACATGGCATCCTGTAGTGTCCCCAGCTTTGCCAGAAGACTACATATGGTAGTCACTACAGCTTGCGCACTGGACTACTGGAATGTTTCAGCTTGTGATGCGTCCAAGCTTGCTCAGTGCACAGTGAAGTGAAGGCAGAGCTTGTGATGCGAGCTTGTGATGCGAGCTTGTGTGTGACTCATTAGTCCCGGCAGAGAACGTTGGGTTGAAAGGTTGAGTTGAGGTGTTGGCATTGGTGGTGCTTGGGGCGGGGGTGTATGGAGGACTAGAATGGAGGTATGGTATACGAACTGGGGAGATAGAAAGGAGTGCAGAGGGCAGGGATGAAGCGAGGAGAAGAGCGGAAGAGTATGGTGTGGCACCGGGAAGGAGCAGAAGAGGGAAGACAAGAGAGAGGGTTGTGATGGGTTGGAGGGAGAGAGGAAGAGCGAGAGAAAGAGCGAGTGATAGAGAGCGAGAGAGAGTGAGAGAGCGAGTGGGAGGGAGCAAGGGAGACAGCGAGAGAGAGAGAGAGAGAGAGAGAGAGAGAAAGAGAGAGAGAGAGAGAGAGAGAGAGAGAGAGAGAGAGAGAGAGAGAGAGAGAGGGGGGGGGGGAAAGGATGAGGAAATGCTGGTGGATAACAGGGAAGGAGACATTGTAGGGGCGACAGAGCAGCGAGCAGGCGTATGGTGGACGAAGGAGGCAGTGGGAACCCAAGAAAACGGGTGGTTGAAGGGGGAGGGCGGACGTGCTTCAGCAAGGAAAAGCAGGCGTTAACGAAAATGCGGAGAGAGGTAGTACGGCGGTGCAGCAGGGAGAAGGGCAGGCAGCGAGACTAACGGGAGAAATGCGGGATTGATAGCAGCGGGACAGACGAGGGAGAGAGACGAGAAGCAGAGAGATACGCAAGGGGAACGGGGGGACGGAGGAGGAAGGAACGGCGGTGGGAATGGGGAAACGGGCGGAGGAGGAGAGTCAGCGAAGGTTCCAGGGAGGCCGGCAGGAGGAAAGTATATGGGAGAGCGGATAAGGGGTGTGACAGGAGGCCTGACGGTCTGGAGGCAGTGGGCTCGGTGGCATGAAAGGGGTGTGAACGGAATGAATGGCCGCGAGAAGAATTATATCATCAATGGCTAATACGGCTGCTGCTCTGCTCACAACCCCTGCTCGCGGAACAAAGCAGCCGTCATAACTCTACTCAGCGCATCGCATACCACCTGCCTGAACCATGCGCGCACGCGGCCAGTAATCGGGCGCGCGGGAAGAGCGGCAATTAGGAACGGGAACCGTGGTAAACAAACGAAAAAAAAAGAACGAATCGATAGACAAGAAAGGGAAAAAGAACTTCACTGTTTGCATTAAGGCGGACATAATGCGACAGAGCAAGCGACACAGAGCAGGGTCTAGAGCGAGGCAGGCCTGAGTGAGCACGAGAGCCTTCCTCGGCATCGCCACATCGTTAAAAATCGCCATCACCACCAAAACCGCGTTACATGGTAACCGGATAGGTATATCTAGTTGGCGGGAATCTCGATCTCGCCGTCGTCGATCTCTTGCTGCACGTCCTTAGGGCTCTTGCCGTCCACAGTGCATCCCACCGACACGCACGTCCCAAGAATCTCCTTCACCGTGCCGGTAAGCTCCTTCGCGATCGATCGTGGCCGCATCACGCGCGCGACCTCGATGACGTCATCCATGGAGATGTTACCGTTGTGCTTGATGTTCTTCGTCTTCTTCCGGTCGCGCTCCGGCTCCTTAAGAGCCTTAATGACCAGAGCCGCGGCGCTAGGAACGACGGACACCTTAGCCTGTCGGTTCTGCACGGTCAGCTTGACGGTAACGCGCAGCCCCTTCCACTCCTTGGCCGTCTCCTTGGCGATATCTTCTCCTATCTTCTTTGGCGACAGACCCAGCGGACCGATCTTAGGCGCCAGCGACGAGGCCGCGCCGACCTCGCCGCCCGTCACGCGGACGAACACGTCCACAATGGCCGTGGGATCCATTTTGGGCGGCATGGTGGCGACGGCTAAGCGACGCGAGGGGGATTCTTAGGGAGGGGGAAGTGGCGAGGCCTAGGAAAGTGAGGGAGGTAAGGAGCGCGAAGAGGAGAGAGAAATGGCGGAGTAGAGAGAAAAGGGTGTGGTAGGCGCAGAGCGGGGGCACGGGGAGGAAAAAGGGGGAAGCTCCGAGATTGCAGTGCAGAGAGCGAGGGGCTCGGGGCGCGGAGGGAAACGTTGCGCAACGCGCGCGGTTGGCAGGTATCTGTCTCACTGACGCAGAGGTTTTGGGTGTTGCGCTCGCGAGAGAGTTGGGATGGACGTGAAGTGTTACATCTCGTAATGCGAGCTGAATTTGTTTTCGAAATATAACTATCATTACACAATACACCAACGTTTCTCATACCCTAAGGCACATATTTAGGGATACATGAAATAAGCAATATATACTGACTGAGAATACAAGCAGATTACCACCATGGTTTGAGGGTAACTACACCCACAACATCCAACAGCCTTAGAGTAAGAAAAGACAAGTACACAAAAATAAGAGATACCCCCAATGGCCGAGTGAGGCGGAAGCCGGAGAGAGGAAGTACAAGCAACGAGAGTAGCAAACCGGAAAGGAGGAAGACAAACGTATACGGCAGCGTGGGGTCTTCAGGGATAACGAACGCATGGGGATAGGAATGCCAGGAGGTGAGAACCAGGGACATGCCGATCCCCACCAGCGTATTAAAAATGGGCCCCGCGTAACAGCCAGACCAGGCAATCTGCACTCTCTCTGCCGCCCGCTCACTCCGCCCTCGAATCCCGCCTTCACTCCCCCCGATCGCCCCTCCGCCATACGCCAGAGCGAGATTAGCGACAAAGTCTCCGATAGAATTGCCCCATGCGAGCAGAGTGAGTCCGAGCACAGACGAGCTGACTCGCAGCACAATAGCAGCTGACACCAGCAGCGCCACCAGCTCGTTTGCCACCACGTAGAACCACACTACACTCATTACAAACCCCGGCACCACCCACAGTAGCCCCAGCACACGCGGTGGGATGGGGAGGGATGCAGAGCGGTGGTGATGGGTGTGGTGGTGGTGCGATGCTGGCCCGAGAACTGCTGCTGATAAGTGCTTTGCACCAGAAGGGCCTGAGGAAGCGAGGAGGCCGAGCAGGGAGAGGAAAGCGCCCGAGGCAGCAGCTAGAGAGAGCGGCAGAGGGGAGAGGAACGAGCCTTGGAGTACGAGGAGGAAGAAGAGAGGGGAGAGGGCGAGGGAAAGGAGGGAGAGGACTCGGCTGCGTGAGTCGCGAGGGAGGAGGGGGATGGTGAGGAGGCGCGGGAGCATGGCGGGCAGGCAGAAGAACCAGTAGGCGATGCCCTGAGCTGAGAGGACAGGTGCTGATGGGGGCTCCCACTGAGATTGGCACGAGGGAGAACGGAAGGGATGCAGAGGAGGAGAAAGGAGTGATGTTGATCACCAGGGAAAGATACACATGACGCATGTCCAGGAGTTTGGAGGCGGTTAGAGAGGGATGAATGAGTAGGAATAAGAGGAACGAATACATCCAGCTAAGAGGGACTCTGCGAAAGCATGGAGGCGCAGCAAGTCTCACACAATAGAGAACCCACGAGGAGAATGGAGAAGGAAACAGACTAACCGAATGCAGAACATCCTCCTCATCTTCCTCTTCTTCCTCCTCCTCTTCATCATCCGAGCCCCATCCCCACAGCGGCCGCACCCCCCCAGCAGCATCACCATCCGCGCCCTCCTCCATCTCCATGAACGCAGCACGGCCTGCCACCCCATGCCCCGCTCCATGCTGTGGCTCCAACTGGAAGATGCGAACATCTCTCGTCCACATCCACTGCGGTAATGCATGCGCATGCGCTGAACCCTCACCGCCTTCCCCGCCCTCTCCTCCCTGCCCATCCCCCCCCTCCATCTCCTCCTCTTCGTCTCCGCCAAGCCTTCCCCCCTTCGCCCCGTCCCCTGCTCCCCTGCGCGTTCCTGCGCCCGACTCCCACTGGTCGACAGGCAGCAGTGGCTGCTGCAGGTTGGCGGGCTCGGTGAGGGCGGAGGAGAGAGAGGCAGGGCTGTGGGTGCTGGTAGAGGAAGCAGCAACGGAGGAGGAGGAGGAGGAGGAGAGTTGGAAAGAGGCGACGCAGCAGCAGTAGGCGATGTAGATGGAGAAGAAGAGGAGGGCGGTCCAGAGGTGCACGGACCCCATGCACACTATCACAAACAGCACCTGGGCGCACACGGATGGATGGGCAGACGGGTGCATGGATGCTGCCTTAGGATGCAAAGCCCATTGCTGGGATGACGAATAGCTGAAGCTAGATGGGCTTGCACTAGTGCCAACCAGGGCGAAGAGAGGGATTGGAGACAGTGGGAGAAGGTCGGGGGAAGTGTGGGTGGGAGGGGGGAGAGTAGGGTGAGAGAAGGAACGTCAATAATGACAAAATGACGAGACACAGGTAAGGGAGGGGGAAGAGAACAAGAGAGTGGGAGGAGGAGAGGAAGAGAGAGACAGAGAAACAGGAGGGCAATGGAGGAGAAGGAAGGAAAGAGGGGGCAGAGGAGGTAAGGCGCATACAAGGAGAGCAGCGATGAAGAAGCAGACGTCTCGGATGAACGAGGGGCCGTCCACCACGGTGGCGTCCACGAGCCTCTTCGCCCCTGCCGAGCCTGCAGCCCTGGCTCGGGCAGCAGCAGCCACGGCAGCGACGATGCAGACAGCGCCCGCCACGACGCAGGACACGAAGGTGGCGGCGCCCAGCACGCTGTTCAGCCCCACCTGCCCCTGCCCCGTGCCCACGAATGCCGCTATGCTGCGGAGGGGATGCGGGAGGCATGTGGGGGCAGGGGAGGAAAGGGACGGATAGGGTAGGAGAGAGGGGGACAGGGAAGGAACGGGGAGGACAGGAAAGGAACGGAGAGGACAGGGGGAAAAAGAGGTTTGAGGCAGGGCGGCACAGCGCACAAGGGTGACAGGCCGAGGGTGATCAACTGACTGCTCCAGCACCACAGCGCCTCATCACAGCAAAGCCATAAAGGCTGCTACAGCCCGGCTCACCTGGCAAACACGTCCGGTGCGCCGTTGCCAAGAGGCAGCAGCGTGACGCCAGCGACAGTGGGCGGCAGGCGCAGCAGGTGCGAGAGCTGCTCCAGCGACGGGCAGAAGAAGTCCGCAGCGGTGTTGCCCAGCATGAAGAACAGCGCCCCCAGCCACACCGCCATGCCCGCCGCTGCGATCCCGCGCGTGAGGGAGAGCGAGCGGCAGTAGTAGAGCGAGAGGTAGTGCACCCAGGAGCCCAGCTGGCAGGGCGGGTGCGTGGAGACGTATGCGCACTGCTCCGCAGGAGTGAGCAGGGTGCGCACGTGGTGGCAGTTAGGGTCGTCGTCGCCCTCTTCGTCCGCCTCCGCCTTGTCGGCCTTGTTCTCAGCCGTGGGGCCCTCGGTCCTGTTGGAGCGAATGCCATTGGCACGAATGCTGTTGGTAGGGTTGTGGCCGTTCAAATTGTTGGCCGGGGAGTCGGTTGCAGTAGGCGCCATGGCCGCTGCGCCAGGTGCACCGTCCCCACTAGGTGACTTCTCTAAGCCCACTCCCTGTTGCACGTGCCCTCCCTGCTCCACACCCGCTCCCTGCTCCGCACCCGCTCCCTGCTCCGCACCCGCTCCCTGCTGCGCGTTCCCAGTCCCGTCCTTCCCTTCGCTACTCCGCTCTTCTCCTTTCTCACCGTCGCCTGCCTCCTTGCTCTCCGCCCTCCCCGCCACCGAGCCACGCTCTTGCGTCTCGTCCGCGCCCGTCGCTGTCGGCCCTGACCCTGCGCTCGACTGCTTCGCCTCGCTTCCACCAGCACCGCCGGCTACCGCCACTCCCTCCTGCCCACCTGCTCCTTCTCGCGCCGTATCCGCTTCCGCGCTCTTACGCACGTGCACGTCATCACCTGCTCCAGCGGCGGCGACAGCAGACGGAGCCGCGTCTGCAGCACCCGCCGCGGCGTCGCCAGCGGCGGCAGCAGCAGCGGCGAGAGAGGTGTTCTGTGCAGGTGAATGGGGAAAGGTGGGGGGCGTTGCTCGTGCATCGCTGGGAGAAGAGCTGACGGGGTGGGAAGAGACGGTGGTCGGTGACGCTGCTTCTGACTGCGGTACTGCTGCTAGTGGCGAGTTCGCTTGAATAGCAGCCCCTTCATGCCTGATTGTCCTGCCTGTTTTTGGAAAAAATTGTGACGACTTTTCATGCTTAATATCCGCTGGAACGTAAGCTGAACGAGGTGTTCTAAGGCCGTTCGAGGAATTACTGATTTGTTCATGTGGAGAAGAAAGTGCATGACCTTGCGTGTTGCTATGTGCAAGTAAATTCGGCGAATTCGCCGATACTGCAGGGACCCAGTAGAGAGAAAGGCTGATGAGAAAGCATAGCAGCAAAGAGCGAGAAACGAGGACCGGAGTCATTGGGGTGACGCATCCAGGTTCCAGACTAGGATAACATGAAGACTTGCAGAAGATACATAAGTGCGACGCGCGAAGCAGAGACAGTGGAGGTTGGTTGGCTGCTCTGGTTTTCCCTCGAGTTTCTCCCAAGTCTGTAGGTGGGACAGTTAGGGCGTGTCCAGCTCGTTCATTTCGGGATTTTTCGTGCCAACGCACGTATCGAGGTTCAAAAATGACTACCGTACCTAGAAACGAATGCATTGTGAGTGGAGTCCAACCATCCTGTAATTTCAGAAGCGCGGACACATTCCCCGCCACACGAATCAACAGTGCTCTGACCACGTTGAAAACGAGGTAACAGTTTCCCTCGTCAATCATAGCTTGAAATTTTTTGTGCAGGCGCAGGGGGCGCTGGCGAGTAGAGCGAACCACTGACGAAATCGTGCAAGCGATGCAAGGGAAACGAACTGTAGTGGCCAGGACGCGGTGCTGTACCCTTGTTCGCGTCCCTGCTGATTCCAGTAACGTGAGTCAGACGACTCTAGGTACGTGCATGGGGCGTGCCGTCTTGCGAACAGAAGCTGATTGTGTCCGCTGGACACGTTCAATAAAGGGTTACCACAAAAAATGTGGTAACTGAGGGGGTTTACGAACAGTAAATGTACGAGCTGGACCCCCCCTTAGTGTAGTCATATTCTGTTTAGCGGAGTCCCCGTTCTACATTTGCGTCGATTCATTTTTGGAAGATCCTCTTACAGTCAGTTTTATGTAACTGGATTGAAACTGCTGAAACATTACCGAATCAAGTAAGCAACAATATTATATTTCCAGAATTTTTTTCGACTTACGCCCATAACATGATAAAAAAACATGATTCTTTCATATAGAATGTCGTGTGATTTTCAGTCTTATCTGATGAGAGGTTTGTGAGGAGAAGTATTTTGATGGAGATTTCTCAATAAAAAACTGAATTAGGAATCAGATGCACTGTTAAAAACTACACTACATCTACATCTGCTTGATTACAAAGGTTGAAATATCTGAAATAGAGAAAGCAAATTGCTTGCGTCTAGTACACTACAAGCAACATCAATATTATCACGGCTGAAAGCCACTCTGATTTCGGCGGACACATCCTTCTGCTGTCGTGGGCGGGAGAAGCACCTGGAGACCTGCGCGCAGCGGGAGTTTGCGGCCTCTATTCGATGACATGAGGGAGCATTCGCGGCTCGACTGGGGCGGCGTCTCGGCTCGGCATTCCCAAATCAGGCTTCATCGAGATTCCACCACCGCCTTCCTGCATCCGTCCCTCCCTGGCTCTGCTTGTGGCCGCCATTCTCTATGTCACACACTGTCAGCAGAGTTGGTCAGGAAATCCTGAGCTCACCGCGCTTGCTCTTTCGGATAAAAGTTCATCTGAGCTCAGTCTCATAACTTCATTGCATTCAGCAGATAGTTCCTGCATCCCGTCTTCGTTTCAGTGCTCCCTTTCTGCTGCTTTTGCAAATCTAACCGTAAAGCATCTACCATGGCTACTACTGCAGTATGGTCGCTGAACGACAAGCCATGGCCGCCAGGCTCTTGCCTGGATCCTTCCATGAATTCCAGAAGCAGCGATGGTAGCACATCCAGTAGCACCGTCGACAGCGTCAGAAATAGCATTCTACGAACCATGTCTGGAAGCAGCGGAGGCAGCAGTAGCAGCAGTGCGAGGAGCAGCATGACTGAAATGGAGTTCCCTGCGTCGACGACCGCGTCCAAGGAAGTGAAGATCCGAAGGACAAACAGCTGCACGACGACGCTTCTTGACGACGCGAATCAAGGCATGCGAAGGACAAAACCGTCGTCTACCAAAGGAGTCATTTTTCAAAGTATCAAGCGCAGCTCCAGAGGCAGCACGAACCATCGCTCGTCGCTTGCGCTGATCTACCCACAAGCTATTGAAGAGGAGGAGTCCGTTTCACGATCCAGCAACAACGGAGAAGATCTGCTACGCGCGGAGAGATCAGAGGCCAACGAGACGGCGGCGGGACCACTTGTTCTTTCGAAAACGCTGGTGACGTCCAACTCTCCCCAAGGATCTTCCTCGGAGCGCGAGGAGGACTTCACTGCTCACCCAACGGCCGGACAGGAATCGTTCTTGCTGCAGGATACGGACCGAGTTGCTCCGTCGCACACTCATCTCCCCGCCGAAGCTGCTCCCGTGGAGATCGGCCTTTCGGCGGACAACCCCATCAGCAGTATCGTCGCGGGAACTGACCATCATGCAACTGGACTCAACTCGAGCGGCACGGAGAGCGTCGCAGCGAACAACGCGGGGAGGAACCGGGTGTGGGATAAGCTCTGCAACCTCATACGTCCATACTACTACTACCAGGCTGCTCCTAGTACCTCCACACCTCTGCTGCTTGCGCCGTCGTCCAGCGACAACCACCTTGGATCTGCGAGCTCTAACGACGGCGATCGGACCGCTCTTCGCGCGGCAGCGCATCACACGCGGAGCAGCTCGTACAACTCGCGCCTCTTCTGCTTCGGAGTGCTGCCTCCCACGCTCGCCATCCCATGCGCGGCGCCGGCGCCGGCGGCCCCCTCGCGGACTCTTCTTCCGCCAATGCAGCCGCACATGCAGCTGTCGAACGGGAGGGCCGCGCGAAAGACGCTGGTTCTGGATCTCGACGAGACGCTCGTGCACTCGTCCTTCTCCGCGCCGCCCAACGCCGACTTCGTCGTGCCGCTCACCATGGACGGCCGCACTGCGTCCGTGTTCGTCCTCAAGCGGCCCGGCGTCGAGCGGTTCCTATCCGCCATGGCGCCAATCTTCGAAGTCGTCGTCTTCACCGCGAGCCTCGCGCGATACGCGGACCCCGTACTAGACCTGCTCGACCCCACCGGCGAGCTGATTCACCACCGGCTGTTCCGCGAGTCGTGCGTGCAGATGGAGAGCGGCGGCGGGTACGTGAAGGACCTGTCGATTCTCGGACGCGATCTGGCGGACGTGCTTCTGGTGGACAACTCGCCGCTGTCGTACGCGCGGCAGCCCGCGAATGGCGTGCCGATCTCGTCGTTCATCGACGACCCGCGCGACGTGGAGCTCCTCGCGCTGATTCCGTTCCTCGAGCACATGGCGCGCGTCGGCGACGACGTGCGCAGGCATTTGGGCGGCGGCGGCGCGTGGGTGAATGTGGGCTCGCGGGAGAGTGCGGGTAGGAAGCAGCTGGAGAGCGGATGCAAGCAAGCCATGTGCTGATAAGAAGCGCCCGTGGGGGTAAAAGAGGAGGCAAGGATGAGACACACGGGATTACGATATAATGACACGGAAATAAGCGGCTGTGCCTGTGGTTGTTGCTGATGGCAGGCACTCGAACGCACCAGCATGAACTAGGCTTCATGTTGCATCTTAGAGTGGCGGTGAGATGCCATAGAATAGCACACTGGGATTCAAGCACTAGCCATTGCTTCTTGCTGATGATGCGAAGTCCTTAGTTGATGTAAATACGGTAGTCAATGAAATGTAAACCGCCTTGAGAGCCATAAGCAGATCTGCTGGGAGCAAATGCAAGCTACAGATGCAGCACTGTGTTGGATTGGCTCCAGCAACACTTGCATGCAAGCTACCATATATGCTCAAATAACTAGCACAGCGCCACTGCTCAAAACAGGATCTTGAAACAGCACAGCTACTCACACATCGCAGCATGCTCAACATGCCGAGTAGTGCAACATGCGCGACTCACATCACAGCCTCATTTACGGTCCAGTAAGCCAGGGGCTGCTCTGCTCTGCTTTTACGGTACTGTGGTTCATGAATCATGATGGTGTTCAGTTGTGGAGAGTAAAAAGGTGTGCTCCAGGCCCTCAGAAGTCAGCGAAAAAAGGCTGATTAGGGGTAAAAAGCCTGTGATTTCAGCCATTTGGGTAGATGTTGGGCTGTTGTGGCAGCTTTTTTTAGAGTGTGTATGCTGTAATTTCAGTTTTAAAAAAACTGTCTCTGCTGAAATATCCGTTCTTTTCCTGTTGTGTGCGCTGTCTCATCAGACTTGTATCGGAGGGCTGGGCTGAAATCCCTGTAATGGAGATTCGGGTTTAGTTTAGGCCCTGAATTCCAGATGTCTAGATACAGCTGTTCGAGTGTCCCTCCGTCAATCACGCCCAAATGGCAAGATTCCTTACCAACCCATTCGGGAATGGCATCAGTCCCGAACTTTCACACCACTGCTGTCAGGTCGCAAAGGTATCTTCGCCCGTGATTGGATGTTAGGTCAACCACATCAGCCAGTGGCGAATGGAATGTGAACAGCGCGGCACCACGCACGCACGTTATAGCAGTACAGCACCACAAAATGGTTGCCGCGCGACTAGGAAAGCCCCCAACCTCACCCACCCCGAAGCTGCAACCAGGTACGTGCACGATTCCATGGGTCGAGTCGCCATGCATCATGGCACGGTAAGCTTGCCAACCAATCCCGCTTCACCATCACCAGCTCCTTCTTGCTAACCCCATGTAGCTGCTGGAGTCCCCCGTCTCTCACCCAACCTCGCAAGGGTTTCACTTCTTTCGCCTCTAGCACCAGGCGATTCTCGCCACGTTCTCTCAGTGCTCGTCACGCTTTCTCAGTGCTCGGCACGCTCTCTTAGTGCTCGGCTCGCTCTCGTATCTGTTCCGCCATGGCTGGCCATGGCGCCGGCCTTTCAGACGACGAGGGTGACGCCGATGTAGACGACGCCGATAGCATCGACATCGAAGAAGCCCGTATTGGGCTAGATCTTCTGCTAAGATCTTTAGGCCGCCAACTACCACCTCCAGCGCCCACTGCACCCGATCCGGTTCTTACAGTGGCGGAGAACCTGAACGTGCCTTCCAGCCCGGATTCCATCCAGTCCGTCCCTCCCGTGCCGCCTGGTGTTTTCGACACCGTTCACGTCGGCACGCCGGCGTTGAAGTCGTCAGCACCGCGCACAATCAAGCTCAAGCAACAGAAGCTGAGTTTCTGGAAGCCATCATCCAGCGTCCCAGTCTCGGATGCTGTTGTCAACGAAACCACCGTGCGCCCGTCTCTGGACATCAACGTTCAGGAGATTGTCGAAGCGATTTATGCCGAGGCACTGGATAAGTACAAAACTAACTGGCTTGAGCGTTTCCCATGGCTTGTACTTACCAAAACTGTTCGTGGTCTGCCTGCTTTCAAATGCAGTATCCGCACTAAGCACGCCGGTGTCAGGGGACGTTGTGGCAGGACAGGCAAAGGTGCTACCGACGTCCAGACGCAGGCCTTTCGATGCCTGTGTTGAGGCCTGCACCGACTTCGCCAAACGCACCGTGGCGAACCTGGAGAGTCAGCTGAGCGACTTGGAATCGTTTTCGGGAGTCCGACTGTTCCTGCCGGTGTCAGGGGACGTTGTGGCAGGACAGGCAAAGGTGCTACCGACGTCCAGACGCAGGCCTTTCGATGCCTGTGTTGAGGCCTGCACCGACTTCGCCAAACGCACGGTGGCGAACCTGGAGAGTCAGCTGAGTGACTTGGAATCGTTTTCGGGAGTCCGACTTGCCGGATGAGTGTCCGAAGAGCAAGTTGGAGCGTCACGCACGATGCGTTGAGTGGCTGCATTCGCTGGTGACGCTGTTCAAGGCAGAGCAGGCAGAAAACATACTGCCAGGTGGAGTTGTGTTATGGGTTTTTGTTTGTTTCAATGCCATCGTATTGTTTCTCTTTACTACCAATACACCTCCTTCCCGTTTGCTTAAGTCATCACTAAGCCCCATCTTGCATTGTTTCCTCTCCCTCCACTTGGGTTGTTGCCATGCCAGGTATCAAGAAGCGGCAGGCCCACAAAGAGCTGCGACTGTTCTGCTCCGTCCGTGCCTCTGCATCGAAGGGGGAGAGGTCTTTCCACGATGGCCTCACCGCGATTTTGAAGACTCCTGACTGGCAGGAGAGTAACCCCAACTTGGTTCTGTTGTGGGTAGCTGTCGCGGTGATTCCCCTTAGCACTGTGGAGTGCGAAAGGGGCTTCTCTCGCCAGAACGTGATCAAGACTTGGCAGTGGAGTAGCCTCAAAGATGCAAGGCTGGGAGACTTGATGTGCATGTCTCTGATGCTGTACAAGCCACGGTTCGACGAGGTGGTCGAGATCTGGAGAAGCTACAAGAAGAGGAAGCCATTTTCTAATGCCCCAATTTCCACCTTAGGGGAAACCAGCAAGAAGGGGAGAGCAACAGCTATGGAAGTAGATGAACCCCATGCTGTAGAAGCTGTAGGCTCTAGTGAAAGTGAGGATGAAGAGGATGATGATGATCTGAATAGTTAATTGTTTGTCTTGCGTGCTATGAGTGGTTCAGACTTGACCGGCAAAATGACGCTGATCGTTCAGCTCTTTTTATCCTAGACAGCCTGAAAAATCAGTTTTTTTTTAACAACTCCACTGACCGCTCAGCCATGAACTCATTCCTAAGGTTGACCAGTCAGCCTACGCCAAAACGAATCTGAGGGCCTGGTGTGCTCGTTCCTGGCTCCATTCATACTCCAACGCGTACCAAGATACACAAGAGAAACGGTGGGCTGGCTGTACAGTAATTGCAGGCCAGGCCAACACCCCAGGCTGGCCTCATGGCATTGGGGGCTAGTCTCACCATCACAGAGAGAGAAACAGGGGGGAGAGGCAGGACCAAGGGGCCAACAATGCCATGACAGCAGTACCATTGTGTTGGCAAGACACCCCAGCCCAGCACCACAAGCTGCCTATGCTGTATGCAACCAGCGGCACTTAAAACGCACGGAACATCACTTCTTGGCCTTCTTTTTCCGCATGTCGTCACCCCCAGCCTTCCTCTTGCCCTTGCCCGCCCCTCCAAAATCCCCTCCGCCCTTGCCCTTGCCGCCCTTGCCACCCTTGCCCTTGCCCTTGTCTGCTGCTGCAGCGTTCCACTTGGCTGCCCTCCGCTTCCTCTCCTCGCCCACCTGCAGCACTGTCACCGCCTGGGAAGGTGTACAGGTGTGTGTAGGAGTAGGCGGGAAGGTTTGTATGTGTGTGGGGGGGGAGAGGGAGATAGAGAGGACGGGAGTGATAGCGAGGCAAGGAATGAAGGCTGGAAAGCGGACACGACAGAGCTACACACAGACACATGCCTTCCCCGTACATTCCTTGCCCACTCTTTACCCACAAAGGCATGCAAGGAGTCGGAAAAGAAATAGACGAGCGAAAGCAGGCCGTCACAGCAAGAAGGCTGAGAGCAGGCAGCAGGCATGAGCGTACCTTGTTGACATCCATGACGTCTGTAGCGTGCCGGCTCACCACCCTGTCCACCACTGACGATATCATCTTGCCCTCCCTCTCCCCCTCCGCTCCCCGCGCTGCCACTGGCAGGAACTGCGGACGGGACGCGATAGGGGACGGGAGCGGGTGATAAGACGGAAAGGGAAACCATTGAAAGAGGGGGAGCAGGGGAAACGAGGCAATGGTGTGAGTCTTTGACTGGTGGAGGGAAGGGTTCATGGCATGGCATGGTCATCTCTCAATCACACATGCGTGCACCCGCCTCATGGATGACCCGCGGCACCCAGGTGTGTTCGCCTCACAGCGACGCCTCATGGGTTCGCATTCGCATCCTACAAACTCAGTAAATTCTGGGGCCATACCTAGTAACCTCTCTACCAGAACACGTTCACCCACTATCCTTGATCCCTTCCCCCACGCAGCAGTGCACCGCACCTATCTGGCAGGAACATCCAGCGCACCTTTCTGTGCTTGCCGACTTTCTTGGCTCGCTTCTCCCCCTCCAGGCGCCGGTCAAACTTGCCCCCACTGGCCGTGCTGCCCGCTGCCAGCGACGCCACCGCCCCCACCGCTGCCTTGCTTGCCTTCGGTGCTGCTGGCCCCCTGCCTGATAGCGGTAGCGATGCTGATGACACCGCCAGGTGGCTGGGAAAGGGGAGGGGAGGAGGGGGGGTAGGGATGGAGTGGAGAGGTGGGGTACAGGAAGGACGGGAGAGAGAGTGGAAAGGAGGAACTGGGGAAGGAGGGGAGCAGGTGGGATGGACGGGGTGGTGCAAGGGGACGCTGAAGAGTCCAAGGCAGCGTGCTTGCATTTGTGTGAGCCATAGACGATGCAATGCAGCACAGCACCACCAGGGGTGTGTGTGTGTGCGTCAGGAGATCAAAGACTGACCTGAGCGCGTCTGGGCGCAGCTGCTTGGCGGACGCCTTGAGATTGCCGAGGCGCTGGCGCTCGTTGGCCTTGGCCCTCGCCTT